ACCTGTTTCACTTTACTTTCACTGCAAATCTTGATATAGCTGCCATCATGCACTGGGCATTTTCAGAACGCTGCAGGAATTTACGTTGGACGTGATTTGCGGCTGTGCATTCGGGTTCAAACGGGAAACAGAAACAAAGGAACATAATTTTTTATCGTTGTGCCAGAAAATTTTTCTCAGTCTGTCGAAAGTTCATCCGATGCTGCTGTTAGCAAGTAAGTAAAAAATTTCTTCCGTGCCGTCGATGCTCAACTTTTATTTTCAATTTCATATGCTCATATGTTACTGCTACTTTCAAAGCTTATATTATAAGCTCATAATATATAAGCTTATATATTTTTATAAGCTTATATTAATAAGCGTAGAAGCTGCATTCATGTCTTAGCTTTCTTCCCGCAAACGGAACGCCTTGCTACGTACATCTTCATGCACGCTCGATGCATTTCATCCGACAATCCATTGCTTCAGCTAAACGCAACACTCGCGTCCGTTCTCGATGAAAAGCGCAAAGCTGTACGTTAACGTTGGCTTTTACTCTGCGGGTCGCTTGGTATCTACCAATTGGTAATAATATATGCTTATGCAGATTGCACGAGATCCCGATATACTGAAGAAGAACCTACTTGAGACCATGCTGGTTTCATCGATCGACCGAGATTACAAATCAATTGCAAAGTTGGAACATCTAAACTTTCACGACGACCCTACCAAAGAGGGAAAGCTCGGAAAAGTTTTAACGAACGAAGTAATCGAATGGCTTCATAGTCCATTAAGAACGACAACCATTTGTAGACTTATAGGAGGTAATTCAGCAATGCATCATTTTCATGCTGGCCGGATACGAAACGTCCAGCACCACGTTGGCATACGTGACATATTTGCTAACATTGTATCCGGAATGCCAGGCCATTCTGACGGCTGAGGTGGACGAAAACTTCCCTGGTGGCAAAGTGAGCCTGTTTCTGATTCGTCTAACATAAACTATGTTTGAGTTTAAGGAGCCAACGTCTGACAGCATTAAGGACCTCGTATATGCCGAATGCGTGATCAAGGAAACTCTGCGTCTGTATCCAGTAGCTGCCGAGTAAGACTTGCACTACAGACGTGTCCTTAGGATTATTATTGAGCGAAAATCATAAGCAAGGCCTGCTGTAAACGGATTATATGTTTCTGTCATTATTCTTACTTAAGATTGTCACTGTAATCGCCATCACCAGTCTTAGCCGGCGCACTAATGACAGAAGAAAATTTTTTGGAAGCGACGGCAGACCGGATAAATTTCGTTTTGATCTTAGAAGGGCGGCATAGACGCTCGTATAGCGTAAAGTGTTTTATTAACTGATAATTCTCTTGAACAAGGAACTCGACCTACCTCTATCCAGGACAACCAGCACATCCAAGAAACGAGTACAGGATGCTGACATTCAATTGGGACAGCATGATGTGCAGGTGTGGTCATATCATATCGTGTGAAACTTATAGCCATACTGGCTAATGCGTGTTGCATGTCTTTACGACTGCAGTTCGTCTGGACCAACCTGAGAGCTGTCTAAATCATAGTGCAGATTGCAAACTTTAAATTAAAAGGATTTACATTTCAGTTTTAAATTTAATCCTTGATTATCCAACCACATTTGCCACCCGTATACAGCAGTGTCATGAACCCAACCAACCAGTCAACAAGAGAAAAGTGGGAACGACTAAACTACTAAGAAAGGATTGAACGAAGAAATATTAAAGCTGCAAACTACTTTGGGAGAGAAGGAAAAGCAAGAAAATTATATAGAATGAAGAGAAGGGCTATAAAATAATTCTTCGAGTCGTACGTGCAGCTGTTAGGTTCATCTGCAAAACTGAAAGGTAAGACTGCAAAGAATCTAGTGAAGGGCAGAAACGTAACGAGGAAAATTTACCAAAAATAATGACTACAAGACTGAATTATCCATGCTACTGGAAAAGTATTATCCAAGTGAATTGTGTTGCTGCTAGACTTATCAGACACACTGTGAAAGAGACTATGAAACCTTCTAAAGAGGGAAGAAAAAAGAAAAAATCGAATTGCCCATAGAAGGAAGGGCTACATAGTACTGCTTAGAATGACCCTTGTTTGAAGAGAGTACATTGCTTTCCTCGATATCTCATCAAGAAGACATACGTTTTACTGCAAACTTCAGTTTCTGGCCATATGTAAACCGGCGCAATCGATTTGTATCTGTTTCATTCGGTATGGCCTTCATGTCTATAAGCTGTGGCTTCTTGTGAACGCTTTTGACGCAATATCGGCATCCATAAATCATTCTGTTTCTCAATAGCCGTCACTGTCGACCACCATGACTGGTCATGTTGCGAGAAGGAATGGGGACTCTCTGAAAAAAGTTTTGCCATAGGGCTTGATCCCGCAATCGAGACAGAGAGGAAATCCAAGAAGACGCTGTGCGAATAACGTCATATTCACGTCATAATAATGTTCCGAGGCTGAAAAATGTAATCTTGAGCAATAATCGCGCAAAGTATACAAACAGAGGATGACAACCGATGATTGTGAGAGATGATGACGGCAAACATTTTTTGATCTCAGATTCCCCCCGCCCCCCCCCTCCACCCTGAATTTATTTTGTATTGGGCAAACCTGTATTTTGAAGTTGCCTCAGAGTAACAGATTTTCTTTACTTTTCACCGACCTGCAATGCTGCCTAAGCTATGCTGTGTAATTTCGTTCATATGCCAATTGGCCCATATTGCAATCGCTAGCAAAAAAACTAATTCCGTGATTTGCCAAATATTGACAGCCGAAAGTAGGGCAATGCAGCAAATAAAAATTCTTCGGCGCCTAACTCAATCGTCTGATTTACGAAAGCCGCGTTTTACGATCAATCATCCGAACTATCCAGAGCACAGCAGAGTTCTCTTTAGTCACCGTTTTCAAAATGACTGTGCTCCTTTGGATATCGAGATATCAAATCTGACTTTTCCTTACGGTAGCCCGATGGTTATTTTTGTCGATATCGTAATCAAGTCAGTCAATTTCGATAGCCGCTTATCCTTTTCGGTAGCCGAGGCAGATACATCAGACAGTGCTGCCAATGTTCCCGATCCTGTGCCAGCGTCTGAGCTTCGCGAGAAGAGAGCCCAAGTTTTTGCCCAGGTTATTCGTGGCTGTCCCAGAGGTCTTCGGCCTGCAGCTTGAGCGAGTGGTACCATCTGTCTCGCTGCTTTTCTGGAGGCATTCGCGACGCATGCCCAATCCATAACAACTGTGACTTCTCAATCTGGAAAAGCAAAGACTCTACACCAAGGCACTTGAGGATGTCTCTTTTCCGGACCCTGTCGAGACGCGTAAGGCCAGCGACTCATCTCAGAAAGCCCATTTCACTCCCTTGTACTCGAGATCGAAGTTTTCAGTCACAGCCCATTACTCCTGGCCATAGGTGAGCGTGGGGACAAAAACTGACT